CAAAAAGTTACTTTCGCTTTTCCAGATTGGATATAAATTTTGCATTGCGTGTCAATCTGACGCTTCCTTCTCGCATAATCGACCTGCGTGCTAACATTTCCGCTCAGAAAGAGGTTTTCCCGTCTCGCGACGTGGCACGACAGTTTGCGGTTCGCCTGTGGTTTCCGCGAAACCGGCCTCCTCGTCGCGTCTCGCCGCACCCGACGTTTCCTAGCCGGAAGTCCATTAATCGGTTCGTGTTTCATGTCGCCCACGAATTTCTCTGCGTACCATGAAAAGCTATCATCTTCGGCTACAGACCGTATCTTTTAATGAGTCGCAAACGTGCATTCGCGATTATGCGAACAATATAGTAATCGCATTAATCGCGCATGATAACGCAATATCGGAGTTAAGTCCCAACACAGACAAGCATTAAACCAACTATGACGCCGCAAAAAAATCTAGATGAAGGTAACAACCGACAGAGGGTTTCTTTCTACCGTGACATTGCCACAATGTCAGTGTTAGTATGTTAATCAACCTAATGAAAACGTATGATCCAATTTAATGCGTTTGCCACACGATAGAATCCGACACGCATTTGCGAGCGAAATATTCCCTCATCAAACTGCTCTGCTTATTTCTCTTAAAGCCAAATAAGTCATCAATAGCTTCACGTTTCGGGAACAAACGTCACGCTATTTGATGTGTTATTATGTTTTATCAGATCATAATAAAAAATTCTGCTCTCTCTCTCATTGTAAATATCCTAGAACGTTACAATACAAATATCAAAAGCGCACACATAAATTGATTATTTTTCATAATTAGAATTTTTCAAAATTATTATTATTTTCTTTTTGATAATGAGTAGAAGGTTTATAAATTAATGTTTGCGCAAGTGTTCGATCACAGCTGATTCCGTATCTTCAACTGAATATGATCATCATTAAAAATCGAGGTCATGTCGTCGCCTTAATTCTGCTATCGATCTAAGTGAGAGATATCGAAGTGTGAAACTTGCCATCCAATAGCACTTTGCCAAATGCAAATATTGACATAGCCTTAATCGTATGCACTACGTTATCAAAGTTCAGGAAAAAACGTAAGTATATGAGGTATTTCCGAAAAATATAGTTTATTTAAGAGTTTGTTTCTAAAATAGAAAAAGTCATAAATAATGCAGTGCATGAAATATATTTATCGAGATAAACGCTAAAACAAATTACTAAAAATGTATCTATAAGTAACATTACTAAAGTTTCTAAGTTATGGCTTCTAAAAGTGATTATTATTTTGATAGCTCTAAAATTTAATTTATCTCAAATGTGACTTTCTTGGTAACACATTTGGCATAATATTGTTATTTGTATTTTCGACAGAGTTTCACAGTTATCAGTATTTGATAATTAATTGGATCACTATTTTTACGTTCTAGCCATCGATATAATATGTGTACAGTCTTGAATACGAAGATTTAATAGAGCGAATAATAATTTGCTTCTACGTAATCTACATAGAGAAAAAAAATTCCTCTTCTACAATACAAATGTTGAAACTTGTTTCCGTCTTTCGCGAGAATTTATTCAACTGAAATTTCTTTAAACAAAAGTATACCTTCAATTTCTTTATACCATATTACTTCCTAAAATTTAATTATTTAATGTATATGCACACACTTCCAGTATCCTTCTTTTTCTTTATACGACCTTCCGTTTTTTTCTCATTTGATCACCTTAGTAATCTCGTTCAAGGAGATCACCTTTTCTTTATGGACGCTCTGCATATATACAAGCTACAAAAATTCTAGAAGTTCTATTAGCTACGAATTTGAATCTTAATTCGTAGCTTTTTAATTTTAAACTACCTTGAAACTTAAATATACTCTCGTACTAATTAAATCTTCGGCAACTTTGTCAAAGAAATATCGACTAAAATTTTATTATTAAGATAAAATACTAATGCGCAAAAGAATAAGTACGTGAGTAAGGATCGATAATTAATCATAGCGATGTTGCCAAGTATAAAATTTACAAATCTTGATTATCCGAGATTAACAGATAACACACATGATAGTTGCGGCTTAAACTTTAATTATAATTTTCATTTTGAGAAAGCTGTCGTACCTATTGTTATGTAAATATACGAAAAACAAGGTACCTTAAACTGCATATCTTCTTCGTTAGAAACGCATCGAGCCGTGACCTCGTGTGGCCCGGACAGCCAAAAATCTATAACGAGGAAGAAGGGAACACGTTGGTCCGTGTCAGAAAAGTGGAGCATTTTGAGACCACGCGTCGTGTGATGGGATGAAAAACGGTATAATATACGAGCATCCTCAATGAGTTTCGAAAGCCACAGAGTGGCCCAGCCCTCTTTTAACCACATCGAGCATGGAGCACGTGCTACGACATGTTGCACGTCATACCGTAATCACGCATGCACTGTTACATTCATAATGTCAGATTATATTCAATTTGAGTTATTTTTAATAATTTCTATAGGTCATCACCACTGCTCCTACTCAATATATCGTTAATTTAACTAAAGAATTAAACAATTTGATTCAAATTTTATACATTTCTTTGACTTAAATTGTTTAATTCTATCGTTATAGTTAAATCAATAATATATTGAATAAACGAAACTGCCAAAATTCAGTTTATTATTTATACTATAAAGTAATAAGTAAGTATTATGTTCATATGATTGTTTCTTATTTTGAAATTAAACAATCACATAAATGGATTTACAGTTTGATACATATGAAAATTAAGAATAACAAAATGTTATTTAATTCAAGAGATTGAGTTGCCGTTACTCTTTTTATATCTAATAATGTGACTAAAATCACGATACGACAGAGCTGAAATCACGCACTCTGAACGCACAATGGGAAATCTATTCGTTTTGAAAAGACAGAAATTTTATACCGTCTAATATAGGAATATCCCTTACATTTCCATCTTCGTGAATTTTGAAATTATTTTGAGATTACAAATTCATTTCAATAGAAGTTGTCTAAATTAAATTTAGATTTCAAGGAAGGAGTTAGATATTATGTCCGACGGAGCTTTCTACGTAGTTCCTAAGTATGTTTTCAAAATGAAATTTAAGCTCTTCCGACTAATATGCGATAAGAATCGTCTAACTAAATCGCAAACAATTCCTGAAGTCTCGAGATATTACTTAGCTGACGATTGTTCATTGCAGATAATATCGCGGGCTAAATACGTACGTCATTAAAGTAAACAACAACAAGGCTGTGCAAACTGAGACTTCTGTGAGAAACAGTCGTTCAAGATAAGATGGTTTATTGCAACCTTATTCTTTGCAACAGTCTCTCGTATTTTCTTTCGAGATTTATTTTGTAAAATTGAGAACAGCCATCGCGCGTATCAGCACCTCGGTTGGTGTTCGTTCTCTTCCTCGTGATGAAAGTATCTATAGCCTTAAATCTTTTCTAGAGAAGCAAAAGATCTGCAAGCTCGTCCTTTTATACACATATACTAAAAAGAGTCTGGATGCATATTAATATGATTGAAATTCTAGTGAAAAATGGACAAATCGGAATTTTCCGGAAATCGGAAATCTAGTCAAAATTTAATTGGAATTCTAGTTGAAATAATCAGATGTCCAATTATGATGATCAAAATTGCAGTTATCAGAATATGTCGGTTCATTCATTTTCAATCAAAAGTTTCTCATCACCACCTGATAAAACTGTTTAACACCTGATAAAGCTGTATTTTTGCGGACGGCCTTCTGAGTGGCCTTCTCGTATTTCCTTTACATTTTTTTCGCCGCGATATTCTTCTCTCGCAAATAGATGTTGCAAAAAGGGATACTTTATTCGCATGCCAATCTTATCGTGTCTTATAATACGAGAAAGGTATGACCAGATGTGCTTCCTCTTTTATATCTGCAGACGCATAAATATCGTTCCATTAATCGATCCTTCAGCGTATATATATATATAT